CAGAGCACAGCACTCTACTGAGGGTTACATAGTGAGACTCTGTCTCCCAAAAAAACAAAAAGAGAGAGACAAGGCTTTGCTCCCTTTCTCAGGCTGGTGTACAGTAGTACAGGAAAATAGCTCAATGTAACCTTGGAATACTGGGCGCAAGGGAGCCTCCTGCCTCACCCTGCTAAGTAGCTAGGATTGCAGGCACAAACCAGAATATCTGGGTAATTTTTAAAACTTTTTTTTTTTTTTTGTAGCAGTGGGGTGTTGCTATTTTGTGGAGGCTGGATTTGAACTCCTGGTCTCAAGTGATCTTCCTGCTTCTGCCTCCCACAGCACTGGGATTATGGGAATGAACCCCTGTGCTTGGCCTGAAGTTTGTTTTTATTTATTTTTATTTTTTTGTTTGTATTTATTTTTATTTTTTTTAGAGACAGGGTTTCACTTTATCACCCTTAGTACTGAGTGCAGAGCTGTTATGGCTCACAGCAGTCTCTTGGGCTTACGTGATTCTCTTGCCTCAGCCTCCCAAGTAGCTGGGACTACAGGCACCCCACCACAACATCTGGCTATTTTTTTTCTTGCAGTTTGGCTGGGACTGTGTTTGGGATTTTTTTTTTTTTTTTTTGAGACAGAGCCTCAAGCTGTCCCCCTGGGTAGAGAGCTGTGGCATTACAGCTCACAGCAACCTCCAACTCCTGGGCTCAAGCAAGTCCTGCGTCAGCCTCCCAAGTAGTTGGGACCATAGGCGCCTGCCACAATGCCTGGCTATTTTTTGGTTGCAGTCATCATTGTTATTTGGTAGGCCTGGGCTGATTTCGAACCCACCATCTTAGGTGTATGTGGCTGGCGCCTTAGCCACTTGAGCCATAGGCGCCAAGCCCCAAGGCTGGGTTTGAACCCGCCACCCTCGGTATATGGGGCTGGTGTCCTACTCACTGAAGCAGAGGTGCCACCCCTGAATTTTGTTTTAAAAAATATCTTCAACATTTTGTTCTTCCCATATTGGCTGCCTTCATTCAGGTTCTAATCATCTCATGTGTATACTACATTGGTGATCTTTGGTCTATTGAGTCTCTTGTTCTTTCCTTTTTTTTTTTTTTTTTTAAATTTATTTATTTATTTTGCAGTTTTTTTGGCTGTGGCTGTGTTTGAACCCACCACCCCCAGTATATGGGTCTGCTGCCCTATTCCTTGAGCTACAGGCACCACCCTAAGTATCTTGTTTCTTATTGTTTTATTTGAAAGTGAAGAAAATTTACATTTCTGGGGCAACGCCTGTGGCTCAAAGGTATAGGGTGCTGGCCCCATATGCCAGAGGTGGTGGGTTCAAACCCAGCCCCAGCCCCCCCCAAAAAAATTCACATTTCTGATATGCAAAATTGAGCCTATATTTCCCTGTTTTATTTTATTATAATTTTTATTGAGATAGTCTCACTGTGTCGCCCTCGGTAGAGTGCAATGGCATCACAGTTCACAGTAACTTCAAACTATTGGGCTTAAGTGATTCTTTTGCCTCAGCTTCCCAAGCAGCTGGAACTATAGGCACCTTTCACAACAATACCTGGCTATCTTTTGTTCCAGTTGTCATTGTTGTTTAGCAGGCCTAGGCCATTTTCAAACCCACCATCCTTGGTGAATGTGGCTAGTGCTGTAACCACTGTGCTATGTGCGCTGAACCTTTTTTATTTTATTTTATTTTTTGAGACTAGAGTCTCAAGCTGTCACCGTGGGTAGAGTGCTGTGGCATCGTAGCTTGCAACAACCTGCAACTCCTCGGCTCAAGTGAGCCTTTTGCCTCAGTTTTTCTACTTTTAGTAGAGACGGGGGTCTTGCTTTTTTGCTCAGGCTGGTCTCAAACTCTTGAGCTCAAGCAATCCACTGGCCTCGGCCTCCCAGGGTGCTAGGATTATAGGGGTGAGCCACCGCAACTGGCCTATGTTTGCCTGTTTTAAATGAGGCAGATTTCTTTTTTTTTTTTGAGATAGAGCCTCAAGCTGTCCCCCTGGGTAGAGTGCCATGGCATTACAGCTCACAGCAACCTCCAACTCTTGGGCTCAAGCGAATCTCTTGCCTCTGCCTCCCAAGTAGCTGGGACCACAGGCGCCGGCCACAACCCGGCTATTTTTTTTGGTTGTAGCCGTCATTGTTGTTTGGCGGGTCCGGGCCGGGGATTCGAACCCGCCACCTTAGGTGTACGTGGCTGGCACCTTAGCCGGTTGAGCTATAGGCGCCGAGCCATGAGGCAGATTTCATTGCCTACAGGATAATGATGAAACTCTTAGTGTGCCGTGCAATAACTTTTTTTTAGGTCTGGCCATTGTCTAACCTTCCTTAGGTTTCCTTCCTTCTACTTTGTGATTTAGTGTTCTGAATTTCTTATAGTTTGGTTTAATTGTTTTGTTCATTTATGCCTTTGAGTTCTAGGTTCTCATATTTGAATTCTCTCCCTAACAATCTTAACTCTTCACCTTTAAAAACCGTTCAGGTAGAGGTCCTGTGGCTCACACCTGTAATCCTAGTACTCTGAGTGTCAGAGGCGGGTGGCTTACTTGAGCTCACGAGTTCAAGAACAGCCTGGGCAAAAGTGAGGACACCCGCCCCATCTCTACTAAAAATAGAGAAACTGAGGCAAGAGGATCACTTGAGACCCAGTTGGAGGTTGCTGTGATCTATGATGTTAATGTACTCTATCCAGAGTGATAACTTGAGACTCTGTTTCAAAAAAAAAAAAAAATTTTTTTTGTTCATGTATCCCGTTTTTTTCCTCCAGTTAATCGTTTTCGCTTTTTGTTATTTTTAATGAGTGTTTATGCTATTGCTCTTGTCATGCTATTGTACCATAGTCTATTTATATGTATATATATCTTATCCATTAGTCCAGAAGTGTACAACCCTTTTTTCTCCCTCTGCCCTACACTGGAAGAATTAAAGAATTGTTTGGCCATATAGTAAATGCACAAACACTAATGAAAGCTACCTAGCAAAAATAAAAAACAATCAGTGCATACTTTGGTGATAACTGACACTGCAGATAAGTAGAAAATTGGCAGGTTGGACACTCCTGCACTATACAATCAGTTCCTTTTCTCATCTTCTTAGTACTGGCACATCAGAAGTTCTTTATCTCTTAATTTTATTTATTTATGGGAGGATGATTTGTTCTCAAATTAACTCTAGGAACCTCTTTATGCGTATACCTATGTATATCTTAACCAATTTTAATTCCTCTTTATAGGAATTTGCATTGAAGATTTTAATTTAGTAGATGGGAAATAAGGAGTTCAGTTTATTCTTAATTTTTTTAAAAATAGACTTAACATCAGAAAATTTAACCAAGTTTTAATTTCATTATTAAGCCACGTTTAATTTACTTTTTTTTTTTTTTGAGGGGGCTACTCTTAGCTAGAAGTTTTGAAAATTGTTACAGTTGTTTATACTTGTTCTACAGTTGAGTTTATAAATCTGAAGTAAAATTTCATTTTATATTCTTTTTGCATTCTAAGGGAAGTAAGTTTCTCATTTTCAAAGAGATGTTTGGATTTTTTGTGTGTTTGAAACAATGTTTTGAAATGTAATTTTGTGTGAATTTTCATATGAAATGATTTTTGTTTCCTTTTAAAGAAAGTGAGAAAATGTTTAATCCTGTGTGGTGCTGAATTTTGCAACCTTTTTTTAATGCTATAAAAGATGCTAAAATGCTATGTATAGAAGATACATATATACTAGACAAATTTGATTGTAGTGTTTTCTATGTGTAGACTGGATTTATATTTTTACTTTTGATAAATGATAAAGAAAATCGGAATACTAAGAACTTGTAGGTTAACTTATTTCTTGATTCTGTGGGATTCTTTACCTCTCCCCCCCACTTTTTTTTTTGAGAAAGAGTCTTACTCTGTCACCCTACGTATAGAGTGCTATAGCATCATAGTTCACAGCAACCTGAAACTCTTGGGTTAAAGCAATCCTCTTGCCTCAGCCTCCCATGTAGGTGGGGCTACAGGCAACATACTACCATGCCTGGCTAGTTTTTTCCTTTTTTTTTTTTTTTTTTGAGATAGAGCCTCAAGCTGCTCCCCTGGGTAGAATGCTGTGGCATCACAGCTCACAGCAGCCTCCAATTCCTGGGTTCAAGCAAGTCTTCTCCCTCAGCCTCCCAAGTAGCTGGGACCACAGGCGCCCGCCACAACACCTGGCTATTTTTTGGTTGCAGCCATCATTGTTGTTTTGCGGGCCCAGGCTGGATTCGAACCCACCACCTTAGGTATACGTGGCTGGCACTTTAGCCACTTCAGCCACAGGCGCTGAACCTTTTTTTGTTTGTTTGTTTTTGTTTTTCCTATTTTTTGTAGAGACAGGATCTTGTTCTTGGCTCAGGCTGGTTTTGAACTCCCGAGCTCAAGCTATCCACTGGCCTTGGACTCCTTAGAGTGCTGGGATCACAGGTTTGAGCCACCATGCCCAGCCTTGGATTTCCCTTTTAAAATTTTCCTAATTTAAATATTAGATTTCTCTGTAAAACCAAGGTTTGGCCCTGAGTTTGCCCTCTCTGAAGTCATTAAATTTAAAATATCTCATATACTATGAGGTTTATATCCTTTACTTTTTAGTGTTAATTGTTTTAAGAAATCCACACCTAATTTAAAATGGGCTGCAACCTGGAACTCTTGAATTCTAGTGATCCTCCTGCCTTAGTCTTCTGAGTAGCTGAGAGTATAAGTGTGCCATGTTAATTTGCTATGATTAACTAGTCAGTCTCTAACTGGTTTTGAATATGTATTATTTCACTAAAGAATTGATTTTTTTCTCCATAAGCTCTTGAGTATCATTTGAATACTTAAAATTTTCCTTGTATGTGACCTACTTCAGTTGATCTAATTCAGTAGGTATTTTAGCATGTTAATCGTTTACAAACAGATTTCTTTGACTTCAGTGGTATGGGTGTTCTCTTGATAAGTAGTCATGTTTTTGAAGTAATGACGTTGGTGTTTTTCCTTACCTAGTTTCCAACCGGAGGCCGTATCGGCAGTACTACGTGGAGGCTTTTGGAGACCCTTCTGAGAGAGCCTGGGTGGCTGGAAAAGCAATCGTCATGTTTGAAGGCAGACATCAATTTGAAGAGCTACCTGTCCTTAGGAGAAGAGGGAAACAGAAAGAAAAAGGATATAGGCATAAGGTGGGAACAAAAACAAAAGGCCTTTTTAAAAATCATCTACTTTGGGGTTGGTAGAGGGGAGACAGGAATGAAGTATTACAGTTTTGCAATAGGTTATTTCTTTTGGTAGTAGGGTATCTGTGAGAAAACAGCCAGGAAGAAGGCGAGGTGCAGTGGCTCACACCTGTAATCCTAACACTCTGGGAGGCTAGGGTGGATGGATTGCCTGAACCCAGGAGTTCAAGACCAGCCTGAGCCAGAGCAAGACCCTATCTCTAAAAATGGCCAGGCCTGTAGTCTCTGCTACCCAGGAGGCTAAGGCAAGAGAATCACTTGAACCCAAGAATTTGAGGTTGCTGTAAGGTATGACACTGCGGCACTCTGTGGAGGGTGACAAAGTGAGACTCTGTCTCAAAAAAATAAAAAAAGAAAATAGCTAGGAAGTAGGGTTTGTTTTCTGTTTTTCTTTCTTTTTTTCCTTTCCTTTCCTTTTCCTTTTTTTTTTTTTTTGTAGTGATGTGGGCCTAGCTTTAGAAATACTTACATGCAATTTTTTGAGGAATAATTTTCAGCTACTGCTGCTGCTTCACTCAGAGAAGTTACAACGTGATATAATGTGATCAATCTTGTTTTATTATTTTTTATGTAAGATGGAAGTGATGATTAAAATGAAATATTCTAATTCTGTTTCTCTGGACTAATTCTTTTCTCTTAGAAATGAGAAAATTTGGG